TGAAAAGGTTCCCCACCCAACCATGCCCACATCCCTACAAACCATACCCCAACAACAAACTATTCCCAACACATCAACCTCAAACCCTCTGATTGAAAGCTCAGATCCTTCCCCTGTCCTACCTCACAACCTTATCCCTCCTAGCCAAACCCTTCCCAACCCCCTCCAGCCCAACCCTTCCAGCCCAATACACAGCCCAATCCAATCCAGACCAACCCATCCTCCCTACACACATCTAAAACCTCAACATTAGAAACCCCATCCACCACCCAACCCCCTTCTGAAAACTCTGGGCCCTTACAACCCAAACCTCCTGAAACTTCTGGAAACATGCCTTCATCATCCATTTGTACCCCAACACCTTCTGAAGAGCTCTTTGAACTTGAATCTTCTTTTCCAAGAGGAAATCCTAGAAATCTGCAAGAAAAACAATTCTCAATCAAAGGATGATTCCCTCCTTCCCCAAGCCAAACAAAAATTCACTGTCAGCTATCTTTCTGATGAGGAACTACCCCATTCAAAAGATCTTCAACCTAACCAAGCACATACAAACCTGCAAGAAGAAGCACCAATCATCATAGTCAGTAGAAGATCATCAAAAATATTGCTTGAAAAACAATCAACAATCAGTTCTCTTCCACCCAGTTATAAATGATCTGTCTATTTTGGAATATTAATGGCATAGCCTCTAAACTTCAGAGACTAGCCATTCTCATCTAGCAACACAAAGTCTCCATTGCTTTCATTATTGAGCCTAAATCTTCCAATAAGAAATTAACCAAGTTCCATCTAGAACTTGTTTTCACCAACTCTATCAGCTCTATAAACAACAAAATCTGGTTAATGTGGAAGGACACCTGGTACAACTTTATAAGCCACACAGACACAGATCAAATGCTCACTGCTCACCTTACTTGCCACTCCACCAGACAGGAGTACTTCTTATATGGTATCTATGGTAAACACACTAATGAAGAAAGGAAAAGTCTCTGGGATTCAATCATTTCTCAAAGCAAAAATGAGAGCCAGGCCTGGATCCTTGGAGGGGATTTCAATACCATCACCTCCATTGATCAGTATAAAGGAAAAAGTGCCCCTAACCTCCAAGGCATCCAAGATTTCGACCACTGCATCATGAATAGTGGGCTAATTTCACCCCATTTCACAGGTAACCCCTTTACTTGGACTGGAGTCAGATCTCTGGGTAGGGTCTAGAAAAGGCTAGACAGGGTGTTTGTCAATAACACTTTCTTTCACAACTACAATGATCTCACTACCATGCATCTCTCTAGAGGTACCTCTGATCATTGCCCTATTTTAGTAAAGGCAGCTAATCCCCCCTTTAATGGCCCCAGACCTTTCAGGTTCCTTAACTGTTGGACTAGCCACCCAACTTTTAAAGAGCTCATCATCAGAAACTGGGGTAATTATTCAGGGGGGAAGCATGAGAGGGCTTATGAGCAAACTATCTTTACTTAGAAAAGCTCTTCAGAATTGGAACAAGACAATTTTTGGTAACATCTTCAGCAAAACTAAAGAGCTGGAAAGTTCAGTCCAAGAACCTCAACTCCTCTACGATGAGCATCCTTCTTCCGCTAACAAGTCCCATCTTAATCATCAAAGAGCTCTTCTTATTCAAGCTACTAATAATGAGTTTGCATATTGGAAACAAAAGCTAGCATCAAATGGATTAAAGAAGGAGATTGTAACTCCTCCTTTTTTCACTCACTGGTTAAAGAGAGAAGATTTTTCCAAAAGATCCAAAAACTTAGATCTTCTGGTGGGACATGGATTCAGAACAATGATGACTTGCTTAATGAAGCCAACACTTATTTTCAGCAACTCTACTCTAAGAAGGATAGTGTGAACACAGAGGAGTTCCTTCAACACATCCCTAACCTCCTTACTCCTGAGGATAACATCATGCTCTCACAACTCCCTAGTGAGGAAGAGGTCAAAGAAGCCATTTGGAATCTAGACCCTCTAAGTGCTGCAGGACCTGATGGGTTTAATGGAGAATTTTACAAAAACTGTTGGGACATTATTAAGGAGGATGTGATCAGAGCTGTTCAGGAATTTTTCTTAGGAATCCTTATACCAAAGGCCCTGGGAGAATGCACCATTATCGTGATTCCTAAGAAAGAAAACCCCACCAACTATGATCAATACAGGCCTATTTGTCTCTCAGATTTCATTGCTAAAGTGAACACAAACATCCTTTCAATGAGATTAGGCAACCTACTGCCAATCTTAATCTCTAAGGAACAGGGGGGTTTTGTAAAGGGCAGGCAGATTCATGATCAAATCCACACTGCCCAGGAACTTATTCAAAATCTTAACTACAAGACAA